CTTTTTGTGCATGTATTTTGGGCTTCTTTATCAAATGAGATGTTCATAGATGCGTGGACTTATGTCTGCGTCTTCAGTTCTATTCCACTGATTGACATTTCTGTTTTTCTATTACTCTGTAGTGCAGCTTGAAATCTGAGGTGGGTGGTGATACATTAATCAGTCCTTTCATTATTCAAAAATGTTTTAGATATCCTAAGTTGATTGTGTCTCCATATGAAGCTGAAATTTTGTTTTCTAACTTTCTGTTACTGTATGGAATTGTGTTGGAATTAACAGAGCTTTCACTGAACCTGTCAATTGCTATTGGGAAGGTCGCTGCATTCACTGTATTAATCTATCAATCATGCACATGTGAGTCTTCATTTTTCTAATGCCTTCTAGTTTTCCTTTGGTGTTATAAAATTATTCTACAAGATTTTCACTTGCAGGGTTAGAGTTTATCAAAGGTATTTATTTTTCTTTGGAGCTATTGTCATGGGCGCTGTTTTCCTATTTTTTTCTGATTTCTTTTTTGTTTTAATTATTTTTGACTGGGTTGTCCATTCTTGGTACTTTGTTTTCAAAGCCCAAGATTCCCTCTTCTATGTCCTCTCCTATGTTGGTGAAATATACCTCTGAGGATTTGATTTGACTTCCTAAATTGTTAATTTCTAGTTTTATTTTTGTTGCTTTTTTAGTTATTTTATTTTTACTTTCATGTTTTGAACTATTTTCAACATTTTATCCTACTGTTTTATTATATCTTAACAGATGTCATTAAGGAATTTATTCATATCCTCTTTAAAGCTCCCTGGACAAATACATAATATCTGCTTTGATGTCTTTGTCTTGTGCATCAGCTACGTCGCTTTTTCTAGGTATATTCTAGTAGAGTTACTGGGTTCTGGTGGAGACATATTGTCTTGGCTATTAATGATTAGCTATTAAGTTTCACTCTGGTGTCTGGGATTAGGATGATTGATTTTCTATCTCTACTGTCCTTCCTCAATGGGTATTTCCTTCCCTGATTTCTGCTGAACTCTCTGGAACTGACTAAAGTATGGCTGTTATGGCATGGGAGTGAGTTTGGCCAACGTGTGGCAGGTGTGAGCTAGGAGAAAAGGCTGAAAGATGCTTCAGTAATAAGCTAAGGAAATCCTATTCACACCTAGAGGTGGGATCCATAGGGAGTTGCGGTGTGGTGGGAAGAGAGAATCCTGAATTAGGTTGCAGTAAGGCAAGGAATTAAGTGGAGAGGTGGGATTGGAAGGGCCAGGGATCCTGGGTCTGAACCAAGAGCTGCAGTGTCCAGTGAATAGAGTTGAGGAAGGTACCTGTAAGCAAGCTTTTAGCAGGGTGAGCATGAGAATGAGAGATGGTAAAACAAGACAAAAAGGATAGTGTGAGCAATCTGTGTGAGTTGCTACCAGTGTGGTCACTATGGTAGAATATGTTTTTATGTACTGCAGGGTAACATGAAGGAAAAGAGATGGACTGGAGGGGGTGTTGATGGTAACAATGGAAGCTGGGCCCTATGCAAGGTGTGATGATGTCCCTGGGGAATGGAAACAGAGGTCAAGGACAGGACTCTGCAGATAGCCTACTATAGTCTGGGGATAAAACTGGGGGCATTGCAGTGTAGGACAGGAAGGGTACTGAAGACAGATTACCTGCTTCCCAGGAATGTATGGCCACCACATTGCCACAAGGAGTGTTTCTACTGGCTTTGGATACCAAGCAGTGGCAGTGAAGAAGGAAAGGAAATGCAGCAAGGTTCTGCTGAGTCCTCAGTGAATGGAGCAAGAGTGAGGGGACAGGCAGGTGGCCTGCTACAGGACTGGGGATTGTAGTGAGGAACCTGAAGGACAATGAATCCAGCCTGGATGATCCCCAAGTCTGGGGGTACACTGGGTTCTCAGATAGAAAGTTTATAACTGTTTACAATTGACCCAAAGAAAGGGAAACAGGTGAGAGACAGAAGGGTTCGTAGGAAGGAAGACATATAGGTTTGTTGCAAGGTTTGGCAGATTCTCCATGGAATCCAGCACAGTTCTTCTAACAGTAATTCAGTGTAGATGCTGTGGGAGTGAGTGAAATGGACGTTGTTATCCTCAAGATCAAATATTTTCTTAGAACTTTCCAAAGGGTAGCTATGTATAATTTTGATTCCTGGCCAACTACTCTGGAAATAATGATATGGAAACATCATCTCTGTATTATCAACAAGAACTCACTTAAAATAGAAAGAACACCGTTCTCTTGCAACTCAAAGCCCATGCGAGACCTGAATATCTTTGCTGAGAGCCATAACTCTCAAGGACAAGTGCTGACCTAAGATTCTGTCTCCAAGGAAAGGAATAGTTGCTTAATGAATGATCTGAACATTCTGGGACATGGGAGTGTATTAGTAAATAGAGTTTTTAACAGAAGAAATGATGTTACATACACATGAACACAGCACATATGTATTTGTATGTGAACACATTGCATATACATTTAAATAAGAAGAATGATATATATGCTCTTTTAGCTATAAAGGTAGGAAAGAGGTCACTGGTGTGTACAAATACCATCCTTGATCTCTCAGTATTAGGATACACTCGATATAACGTGTTGCTGTTTTGTGTGTCTGAGTCCCTCACAGGTCAGAGAACATTTAAGCAGAGGCCTCACTGATTAAGAATGCAACCACAAGGTGGTGGTAGACCTCGGTTGCTGGGGCCTATGCAGAAGATTCACTTCTGTGCATGCTGACTGTGCAGGCATAGGGCAGAAGCACAGCCTTTTTCTCAGTGACTGAGTAGATGACAAGAGGTAGAATTGTTACTGATAAAGAAAAACACCCTGCCAGCTTCAGCTGCCTTGCTAGTCATCACGATTGCATCCTGGATCTTCATTTAATTGGAAGAACAATGAAGACACATTAATTCATATTTGTTTGGTTGCAGCAATATGGTGAGTTAACATTTTAGGGCCACATAATATTCTGTGAGTATTTATGAGGTATCTAAGAGGAATTCTATTTTATTCAGCTTTTGTAGTAATATGGAAAGGTGGGCTGTGTTCCCGCCCAGATTCCTCTAGCTTACCCCCGAAATAATTACTCGGAAACTGTATTTTTTTAAACACTGTTTGGCCCATTAGTTTTAGCCTCTTATTGGTTAACTCTCACATCTTGATTAACCCATTTTTAATAATCTGTGTAGCACCACGAGGTGGTGGCTTACCAGGAGGATTCTAACCTGCGGCTGTCTCGGAGAGGAGAGTTATGGCGACTGACTGCCTCTGCTTTCTTTCTCCCACAATTCTGTTCTGTCTACTCCACCCACCTAAGGGCTGGCCTATCAAAAAGGCCAAGGCAGTTTCTTTATTAACCAATGAAAGTAACACATAGACAGTTAACCTTCCTCCATCAAGCTTTTCTCTACTGACTTTAGAAAAGGAGAATCCTGGATAGTGATGAACTGACAACACTTCTCTTTTCTTTTCATCTCTCTGCATTAGAGTGATCCACAGTGAGCTGATAGAGCAGCATCCTTCTAGCCTGAGAGTCCATAAGGGAGACAGCACTGTCATCAACTGCACATACGTAGACAGTGCCTTGTCCTACTTCCCTTGGCATAAACAAAAATCTGGAGAGCATCTTAAGCTCATTGCTGACATTCATTCAAATATGGAAACAAAAGAGCAGTAAAAGACTAATAGTTCTCCTGGATAAGAAAACCAAACACTTCTCGCTGCACATCACAGACACCCAGCATGCAGACTTCTGTGCTGCAAGGGTCCACTGCTCCCCACACACCTGAAGCCTCTCTTTAATCCTGCCACAGGACCTGTAGCCCCATCAACATCCTTCCTAATAGGCATTCCATTGCAGAATATGCCAGTAGTTAGTTGGCAAGTACCAACTATAGTGTAGAAATTAAAAATATAAAATAAAAAAAGTTAGCTTCAACTCGTTCAAAATCATTTTAGACAGTTTTCTCCTTCCTTCATTTTTAAGAAATTATTCCAAAAATTGAAATACAATTTTATCATTCTTTTCCTTGTTTGCAGTAAATGGTGATTGTCACAGAGAATCAGAACTCACGGTGTTGTAGAGATGAAGAGACTCCAGAACTTTCAGCCCCTGGTGGGACATCATCATCACACACCCTCCTCCCAGAGAGGTCAGTGAGGCAGAGCGGGTGGAAATAATGTGAGAGCCATTGTTGGGGGTGGCTATAAGAAGACATTGTTTTCTGGACGTAGCAGGACAGCTGCACACATGAGCTCACAGGGGTTGACAGCACACATAAGACTTGCAAAGGATCATGGCAAACATAATTCCAGCATGTAGAGAGAATGTGGGCATTACCACACCTAGTCAAGGAGTGAGAAGAAGTTGGTTTCTTTATTTGTGCAGTTCCTGGTACATAGATAATCCTCCAATGAAGGCCACACATCCAAGAATATATGGGCTGTACAAATTCTAATGCAAACCTGATTTTATTTTTAAGTTGGGGACAGGGGGCACAAAACTGCATTGATTAGAAAAGTGTAAGGATCTGGCAGGGTGAGGGGGCAGGTGAATATAATCCAAATTAATTGTATAGCATTCTCTATGAACTAATAGAATGGCAAAGAGTAGATAAATTTTATCAGAGGCATGTGTATACTATTTAATTTGCATTCATCACACTAGATATCATAGAATACATATAGTTCAATAACCTTGAACTGGAGAATTTCACTATCAACTGGAGACCTTCCTCATTTGGGTGAGGTTTCAAGTTTATTCACAGTATGTTGTGCAGACATCTATGGTGCAGTTTGAAGGAAAATCAGCAGAGGGCACTGCCTCTGCAGATGTGGTTAAGGTCTGCATCCAGTTGGTGGCTTCACATGACAGACTGTCACTGTGCATAAAAAGGTCCTTGTTTGTGAGTGAGGAGTTTCAGTAAGGTCCCGAGGAGATTTGTCCTGTGAGTTTGGTGAACTCAAGAGCCAAGTGTCATTGAACATTGGCTTCTATAAAGATGCTTCCGGACACCTGCTCAGTCCTGGGGCTCCTGTTAATTCTCAGTAAGTTGCATTTACCTTAAGTGGTGATGACATCATTTTCTTACAGCTGTGGACATCTTTAGCTTCTTTGTCACATAGTAAAGTGATTCCTCCATATTGATTGATTGATGACTGTTTTGATTTTTAGGAAAGGTCACTGGAGACTCAGTGACCCAGACAGAAGGCCTGGTTACTGTCACAGAGGGATTGCCTGTGAAGTTGAACTGCACCTTTCAGACCACTGTTCCCACTCCTGTTCTTTTCTGGTATGTGCAATATGTCAAAGCCCCTCATCTACTCCTGAGGAGCATCACAGACAACAAGAGGACAGAGCACCAAGGGTTCCACGCCACTCTCCATAAGAGCAGCAGCTCCTTCCACCTGCAGAAGTCCTCAGTGCAGCTGTCGGACTCTGCGCTGTACTATTGTGCTGTGAGTGACACAGTGAGGGAGACTGCAGAGGAAGCTGCACACAAACCAAGGGGGCAGGAGGGCTGAGGAGAATGGCCTTGCAAGGGAGAGCTGTGTGCCTTCTCTAAGAGGGCTTTACTCCCCGCTCCTGAAATATAGCATCAAATCTCTTGTCAAGTTCCTAGAACATTAAGTGGCCTCCTAGCCTTAGTATTCCTCATATCCCTAAGGGATATTGGATTTCTTCACAGCTTGGTCTTCTGTCTGTCCAGGATGCTCAGCTCTTTGTCCATCCCAGTGACAAAGGTGATCCCCTTGATGAATGACAGCATACCCATTTTATTTCTTTGAGATTTTCATCTGGTATGAGAGAAAAATTCTACTTGACTAAAAATAACAGAGAAGGACTTGGAAATGACTGTGATCATCCAGCACTCTGAGTCCACTTACAAGTGAAAGTTCCCATCCCTTGACCATGGCTACCATCATGAAACCTGCAGTGAGACCCTATCATCACTGGAAATAAGGAGAGTAGAGGATTGGGCTGCCATGGAGCAGAATGCTTTGATCTCAAATAACTGCAGAGAATTTCTCCTGGAGATGCAGGACAGAGGCTTATGATGCTACTCCTAAGCCAAATTAAAGTGTGAACCAGACCCAGTGTGATTTCTCCTAAGTTCCAGGTCATCTCCTAATTAACTATCTAGAGCAATCAAGGTTCCATCCTTGACAGCAGTTGCGACTGATCTCTGAGAGGGTAGGACTGAGAAAGTGTTATAGGATTACAGACAGATGGGAAAGAAAAACTAAGCTCCTTGAGATGGCAACTCCTTTTTCCTAGAAGACAATTTGAGTTGAACTGGTGAGAAGGCATGGGTGGTACCCTAAACAAGATGAATAGTAGAAAGGAGAAGATACATGGGCTCAGTAAAACCCCCTAGGCAAATCCCAATTATGTTAGATTTACAAGTCTCCCCATTCCAACAGATAAGGGTTTTACTTTTGCTTTCTTCATAGTTCCATCTTCTGTCTTTCTAGGATGCTCTGTTCTTTATCTGTCTTACGGATGGAGCACAGTACTGCTCTAGATAATCCCCAGTATCTCTGTCATGGATGTTTGTTCCTGAATTTCCAAGCACTTCTAGTACCATCAGAGTAAACAAACAGCTGACCAAATAAATTCTATGCTGAGAATCCATCTTATACCCAAAATGATTAATATCATCATAAAACAAAAGGCAATGATATTGTGAACATGATGAGAAATAAACCCTTATATGTAGTTTATCAGGATATAAATTAGTATAACCATTATGAAATTTAGTGCAATATTTTCTTGCCAAAAACACTTAAAAATTAATAAAATAAAAACAAAGATTCCAAATAATCCAGTTTTAGCACTCGTAGCTGCATGCCTGAAGGAATCAAACTCAGTAGACAATAAAGCTATGTGCACAGCAAGCTATTTTGGTAACATTCACATTAACCAAATTATGGAATTAGCTCAACTGTCCATCACTGCATACAAAAGGTGGAAATGGGAAGTGAATATGAGTAACATATATGATATGTGTGCATTAAAATATTATAATATTTTATTAATATTTTTATAACAATATGTAGTTATTACTACTAACAAAAATAAATAGGTACTGGAGAGAAGGCTTAATCAGGGAAGTGCCATCTCACCAGCATAAAGAACTGTGTCCAGCTCCCCAGACATGTACTATCTAGTACTTCACCCACATCTGCATCCCTAGCACTGGTGAGGACATTGCCTGTCCAGTCCATGGAGTTCACTGACAAGGCAGCCTGGGATGATCAGCTGGGTTTAGTAAGAGACCCAGAGGCAGTTTCTCAGGTATCCCTTTGTGTCTGTGTGAGAGAGGATGGGCAGGGAGGAGGAAAAGGCTTGTGGACATAGCAATGAAATCTAGAACAGTTTTTTCTAATTTTTTTTAGTGTATGATAAATGATAAAAATAAGGTGAAGAGTAACCAAGGACAACCTCTGATCTTTTCAACATGTAAATCACCTGCACTGATGTGTTCTCACCTTTCATACACTCACACATACACATACATAACTTGTACAAAAATAAATAAATGAATAAATAGACAAACACATAAATTAATATAACTAGGCTGTGAGCTGGAACCATATATGTTAAGTCACATTTAAATCTATTTTATTTTAAACTGATATTTTTGTTTGTAGAGAATTTATATAAACATTGATGATGAAGGAACAATATAAAGGTGTATGAGCTGATCCTGAGAAGACATAAAGAACATAAACTGTTATTTGAGTGTGAGAGATTCTTCAGAAACATTACAGAAAAGTGACTAGTGGAATAACTTTCATTTGCCATTTGCAGAAATCAAGTTGTCATTTGGTGAAAAGTGTTTGCTTGAACTTGAACAAATGTCTCAAACTTTTCATCTGACTAAACTATTGCTTGTTTTAATAGGGCACATAAGAAGAGTCTGCAGTTAAAATATTTTTGACACTAAGGTGAATCCACAGGAGGGCAGCATCTTCTCAGAGACTCAGAGGCAATTTCTCACATGGACCTTTGTGTCTGTGTGTTGTGGGGTGGTTAGAAGGAGGAGGAGAGATTCTGAGGTAGCAGTGGAAACTAGAACCTTCTTTCTGATTGGGTGAACAGTTTGGGATTTTCTTTTTCATGCATCTTATAGCAGAAGAATTTGAACTCCCTAAGTGTCAGTCCTTTTGTTATGGTTGAAGTGTGAATCTTTAGTGAAAACAATAATGCATCCCTTAAGTGTTTCACTAGTGGTACTCTGGCTTCAACTGAAGGGTGAGTATGACCATTCCTATGGGATGATACAATATGGGAGAGCATTGCCTCACATATATTAGATGGGAGGTTAGAAGTACTAATGTTCTCATGCTGAAAAAAAGCAGGTGGGAGGCCCTTGGAAAAGTCATTCTGGGGTTTTAGCATCCATAGGCATCCAGTCCTGTTTGTCTGACCTTTGTCTCTCTGCACAGGAGTGAACAGCCAGCAGAAGGTGCAACAGAACCCAGAATCCCTCAGTGTCTCAGAGGGAGCCATGACCTCTCTCAACTGTACTTTCAGTGATCGTAATTTTCCGTACTTCTGGTGGTACAGACAGCATCCCAGGAAAGGCCCCACTTTGCTGATGTCCATCTCCTCCAGTGGTGAAAAGAAAGAAGGCAGATTCACAGTTCAGCTCAACGAAGACAACCTGCATATTTCCTTGCACATCAGAGACTCCCAGCCCAGTGACTCAGCTGTCTACCTCTGTGCAGGGAACACACAGTGCTCCCCAGGCACCTGCAACCTGCACCCAAACTTAGTGGGACGTGTCAAGACCTGAGTTAGAGCACAGACCACAGGGTGCAAAGTTCTCTTTCAATCCTTTAAGCAATGGTATTTAAGAGCAAGAGTAGAGAGGGCTTGATTGATTGGGAAAGTGTGGGAGAGCTCTCACTGGGCTTCACCTGGTCTGACTCCAGAGTGCTCTAATCCATCTCTTTTTCTAGATTACCTTTTCTTTCTTTTGTTGTCCTCTATGTGAATCTTCTCTGAGCCCTTCCCAGGGGTACAAGGCATATGCAAAACTAGTTTGGAAAAAATCTGGGAAATTGTAATATTCCTATATCATGTATTTGTATTTGGCATTGTCCCTTTGGGGGTCCAGTCAGGTTGTTTTGAGGATATGGAAATCAACTTGCTTAGGTGTAAATATGGAAAAGAAGAAAAACACCCTTGGCTTAGGAAAGGTGACTCAATCCCTAGAGTTGCTGATTCCTCCTGCACCTGAAAGACTAGAGACATCCTAAAGGTGAGCTGTGTCTTCATCCCACAGGTCTGCACGAACCCACACCCATATTCCAACAGGAAAGGATTTTGACATTTTGAAAATAACAGATCCTAAATGGAAAGACCCACTACTGATTTGACTGAAGCATTTTCCACTTTTCACTTCTCTGATGTTGATGGTTCTACAACAATGTACACACTCTTTATGTGCCTGTCTTGTTGAGATGGAAGACATGCACATGGCCTTGAGACTCACCTCATGTCATGTCATAAAGACCACCACCACCTCTACAGCATTGTGACTTGCTTGCTTTTTGAAATCTTTCCATTAAAATATTTATTTTCTAATTTTGAAAAACTTGCTTATAAAGTACCCCCTTTCTCTATTGCAGTTTCTAATATATATATACTTTTGGTTGAGCCTGGCACAAGCTAATCCTCTCCACCACCTCTCTAGTCCCCATTCTTATTGAAACCTTCTAGCTCCCAGTACCACCCCTACTACTTTCATATAATGTGTTCTATAATCTTCACCCTCATCTTTCCTAATGTCTTTTCCCTTCTGTGGGCAGCTGTCTAGCTTCCTGGCATCTATACATACTCGGAGTCACATGAATACATACTAATAAAATGTGCAAGCTAGGATTTGCATGTGTTTGTTTCTGAAAGTAGGGTAACTCACTATAGTATTTTCCTACTGCATCCATTTTCATGCAAACTTTATCATCTCAATTTTCATTTCATTTTTCTTAATTGGTGAATACTTTTCATATGTATGTATATGCCTTTCCAGCCAACCTGTGCAGATCTGGTCTGTTGGACCTGGGGTTAGAGGACTGGAAAGAATAGGTTGGACTGCAGTCTAATGACGGAGACAACCTTACTTCAGTTTCATTTTACTTTTATATAAAAACATAACAAAGAAAGCAATGATCAAATCAAGGTTGTTTGAGGTCAGGAAAACATGATAAGAAAAACATCTAAGAGAACATCTGTAAACCCCTAGTAAATATTAACAGGGCAGTCCTTTCCCAGAATGTCCTCAGTACAGACCAATTTAAACACAATTTCCTGGCATGTGCTATAGATTATACTGGGAAAAATAAAAGGTAGTAGCCCATGTCCTGATTCATTCAGGGTACACTGACCAGACTGGGTTCTATAGCTATATAAGATGCAAACATGCCTTATAAACTGAGTGTAAATATTTAACAGAGTAGGCAGGAAATCATGTCCAAGCACAATCCAGCCAACAAAATGCATGCCATTCTTTGAC